GGGCGGCGCCACCTCTGGTGCGGAGAACATACATATCACCCCTGCTAAGCCTTGCGGCATTGGCGCGTATAGACACCGGGGTGAGGGACCACTCCTTGCGCACCCCTTCCTGTGTCGAGAAAGTGCCACGCCTGCTAGGCCCTGCGACAAAGGCGCGTATGGAGACCGCGCTGAGGGACCACCCCTTGCGCACCCCCTCCGGATTCGAGAAAGTGCCGCGCCTGCTAGGCCCTGCGAAATTGGCGCGTATAGAGACCGCGCTGAGGGACCACCCCGTGCGCACCCCCTCTAGTGTCGTGAAAGTGCCACGCCTGCTAGGCCCTGCGACATTGGCGCGTATAGAGACCGCGATGCAGGACCACCCCCCGCGCACCCCCTTCCGGCGTCGAGAAAGTGCCACGCCTGCTAGGCCCTGCAACATTGGCGCGTATAGAGACCGCTGTGCACCCCTGTGGTGTCGAGAAAGTGCCACGCCTGCTAGGCCCTGCGACAAAGGCGCGTATAGAGACCGCGGTGAGGGACCACCCCCTGCGCACCCCCTCCTGGTGTCGAGAAAGTGCCACGTTTGCTAGGCCCTGCGACATTGGCGCGTATAGAAACCGCTGTGAGGGACCACTCTCTGCGCACCCCCTCCTGGTGTCGAGAAAGTGCCACGCTTGCTAGGCCCTGCGACATTGGCGCGTATAGAGACCGCGCTGAGGGACCACCCCCTGCGCACCGCCTCCAGTGCCCAGAAAGTGCCCCGTCTGCGAGGCCCTGCGACATTGGCGCGTATAGAGACCGCGCTGAGGGACCACCCCTTACGCAACCCCCTCTAGTGTCGAGAAAATGCCACGCCTGCTAGGCCCTGCAACATTGGCGCGTATAGAGACCGCGCTGAGGGACCACCCCTTGCGCAACCCTTGTGGTGTCGAGAAAGTGCCACGCCTGCTAGGCCCTGCAACATTGGCGCGTATAGAGACCGCGCTGAGGGACCACCCTTTGCGCAACCCCCCTTGTGTCGAGAAAGTGCCACGCCTGCTAGGCCCTGCGACATTGGCGCGTATAGAGACCGCGCTGAGGGACCACCCCCTGCGCACCCCCTTCCGGCGTCGAGAAAGTGCCACGCCTGCTAGGCCCTGCAACATTGGCGCGTGTAGAGATCTCGCTGAGGGACCACCCCCTGCGCACCCCCCTCTAGTGTCGAGAAAGTGCCACGCCTGCTAGGCCCTGCGACATTGGCGCGTATAGAGACCGCGTTGAGGGACCACCCCTTGCGCAACCCCGTCTAGTGTCGAGAAAATGCCACGCCTGCTAGGCCCTGCAACATTGGCGCGTATAGAGACCGCGCTGAGGGACCACCCCTTGCGCAACCCTTCTGGTGTCGAGAAAGTGCCACGCCTGCTAGGCCCTGCAACGTTGGCGCGTATAGAGACCGCGCTGAGGGACCACCCCTTGCGCACCCCCTCCTGTGTCGAGAAAGTGCCACGCTTGCTAGGCCCTGCGACATTGGCGCGTACAGAGACCGCGTTGAGGGACCACCCCCCTGCACACCCCCTCTTGTGGCGAGATAGTGCCACGCTGTGCTGAGCTGTGCTGTGCTGAGCTGCGCTGTGTGAGAAGGAGAAGGAGAAGGAGGAGGAGGAGGAGGAGGAGGAGGAGGAAGAGGAGGAGGAGGGAGGTGCGGGAGACGCGGGTGCAACGCGGCAGGGATGAAACCAGAACCCCACGAGAAATGTTTGGAAAAACTGCATAAACAGAAAGTTGTGGCGCTCCTCTCGGATTTCTTAGATCCACGTTGAGCTCCCCCGGCGTCGCCTCCGGCACCGCCCCTGGCGCGCTCCGTGCGCCAGGGAGGGGGCCCAGCGCAGATCCAAGAAATCCGCGCTGAGCGCCAAAAGTTTATGTTCATGCCGTTGTTCCTGCTCTTTTTTCTCATTTCTGCTTCAGTGATCCAGTGGCTTCGCCTTTTCCGTCCTCTCTAGGGGGCGGGCTGGAACCCAACCCATTTCCAACGCCATCATATTTATGATCGTTTTTGTATTGATTGTTTTGCCGATCGGCGCGGGCTTTGGACCCCCCCCCCAAATGGAGTAGATCTTGGATATTTTTTTGGGGGCGCCTGCTTCGAGCAGGTGGGGCCTCCCCCGTAGGACGCACTGCTGCAAACAGCGGCATCAAGCAGAGGCTTGGAGCCAGACCCCTTCCCCCCGCCCCCCCTTTCCGCCCAAGGTTGAAACGCCGAATCAAAAAAAACGCTCACCTTGATGTTTCTGCCTGCCTCCTTCGGGTTGACCCGACAGGGGGTCCAGCGACAAGGGTGTGGTGCAATAGATTTGGTGCAATAGCTTTGTGGGGCACAAATGTACTGCTGGATCTGCGCGTGCCATACACTACTTCCAATACACTGCAGTACAATCCTCAGGCGCAACACACTTGCAATACACAGAACCAAATCTGTTGCACCACCCCCCTGGGTGAGGAGGGTGAGGAGGAGGAGGAGGAAGAGGAGGAGGAGGAGGAGGAGGAGGAGGAGGAGGAGGGTGAGGAGGAGGAGGAGGAGGAGGAGGAGGAGAAGACCAAGTTTCAGCTGGACCCCCCTGTTGGGTCACCCACCTTCATCCGAGCGACGGGCACCCCCCCCCCCCTCCCGGCTGAGCGCGCCGAGAGCCGCCGCCTCCCGGACGCGCTCCGGCCTCTCCCGCGCCCGGCGCTGGGACGGCACCGCGGCCGCTCAGCACTTTTCGGGGGTCCCGGACTTCCTCGCGCTGTGAAAAAAATCACGACGGGAGGTTTTTCGCTATTTTCGGCCTCCGGGGGCCCTTCGCAGGCCTCGGGACCGTCAAAAAACGATTCAGGACGAAAAACCGGTCCCAGGGAAGGTGTCCAGACTTCTGGGCGTCGACGTTGTGAAAAAATCACGACGTCGGAGGCCTGGGGTGGCCAGGAGGGGGGGCGCTGACTAGAGGTTAAGTCGGGCCTGTCCCTCTGCAGGAGAAATATTCAAGAACAGTAAAAGAAGTAGTCTGGAGGCGATGTTGCTAGTATGTTTTGAACGTGTTTGAATATTCTGGGGGGTATCTTTCATTTTTCGTCCAAATCCCGCCTGTTGGAGGACATGCCCGACCTAAGACTGGGAGGGGGGAGATCATGGCCCGGGGCCACGATGTCTCCTCAGATGTCATGGCCTCCTCGTCTGATTTCAGTGCGTCCTCTGGTCCCCCCCCCTCCTCCGCGCACGTGCCTCGGGCCATAAGTTGCTGGCCCCCCTCTTGGACGCCCCCCTTTTGGACGCTCCCGAACCCCCCACGGAACCCGCCCGCCCACGCGTTCGAAACCGTCTAGGGCATCACCGGCGGCAGTCGGCGCCGCGGGTTGGGAACGGGCGGGGCTTCTCGCCGTCAGACGGGCGTGCTGGCCTGGCACCGGGGAGGAGGCTGCGGCCGAGGAGCCCGGGCGACGCATCGGCCGAGAGGCAGCACGCACAAGTTCCGGCAACGTCCGGGGCACCGCGTGGCGACGCGCCGATCGTCGGGGGCGGAAAAGAGGGGGGTGATGACTAGGGGGGGGGGGATATCATGGCGCGGGCCATGATATCTCCCCAGATGTCATGGCGCCTCTTCTTGTTCCATTGCGTCCCTGGCTCCCCCGCTGGGCCGCGCGCATGCCGCCGGCCATGATTTGCGCCCCCCCCTCTTGGACACCCCCCTCCTGGCCGCTCCCGAGATCGAGGAAGCACAGCTCGCCCGAGCAGGCCCTGGGAGCAGCCAGTCACTGTCCCATCCCGCGAGGTCCTCCCGGCACCGTGCAGCACCTCGGGGTGATCCGGGCCGTCGGCGGCCCGTCCAGCGTGCAAGGGGCACCAGTCGAGCCACGCAGGGCGTTCCAGACAGGGCCTCGCCCACGAGTGAGCGACGTCTCGGTTTAAGTCGGGCCTGTCCCTCGTACTACAGGGGGAATATTCAAAAATTATATATATTAAATTAATTAATTAATTAAATAAATAAATAAATAAATAAATAATAATAATAACAAAACAAAAAAAAAAACAAAAAAAAAAACGGTGGACTATGTTTTGAGTTGTTTCTTGCATTTGGGAGCATTTTTTGAGTATTGATAATTTGTCGTCCGGAATCCCCCTGTAGGAGGACAGGCCCGACCTGAGCCTGGGTCCCCCCAGAGGCCCGACCTGAGGACAGGCCCGACCTGAGCATTTGGGGAGTATTTTTCTTTATATTTTCAATTTGTCGTCCAAAATCCCCGTGTAGGAGGACAGGCCCAGAGGCGCGAAGAGGACCGCGCGTCGCGCGTCGCGGCCAGGGCCGTTGGGGTCTGCGTCTCCAGGGGGCGGCGAGAGGTCGCGAAGATGACCGCGCGTCGCGCATCGCGGGGCGCGCTGCGCGAAGTTCGATGACCTGGGATTCTGTCGGCCTGACCCTCTACAGGAGGAATGTTCAAAAGTAGTCCAAAAATAGGCTGTCCACGAGAGCGAATACCAGAACAAATAGTTCCAAACATCATTTCAAAAGATTTGATTTCTTGGAGTGGCCATCGCTCTCGTGGATTCGCGCAGTAGTTCTGCGCAACGGCACCGCCGTTACGACAGACTTGCCGTTACGACAAATCGTTGTTTTTTACTTGATCGAGCTATTGCCAGGAAAAAGTGTCTGGATAGAGTGTGGGACAAGTTTTGTTCGTATGTTTGACTATTTGTTGCACATGTTCTGGCTGCTTTTAATTTGTCGTCGAAAATGCCCCTGGAGAGGGACAGGCCCGACCTAAACCTAGGAAGTGGTTGCTTTCCTGCTTCGGTGGAAGGCGGCGGAAGCAGAACGAGTTGATTATGTGTTGCACATGTTCTGACTGTTTTTAATTATTCGTCGAACATCCCCCTGAAGAGGGACAGGCCCGACCTAAACCTAGGAAGTGGTTGCTTTCCTGCTTCGGTGGAAGGCGGCGGAAGCAGAACGAGGGCGGCTGCACGGGTAGAAACCAGCGGAAGCAAAATAGGCGCATGACGGCATGTCTCGATTCGTAGTTGCTTGAGCGGGGCAGGCGGGGCATGTATACCCTGGTGTCCTGAAGGAGCGGAAATGGGAAATGGGAGAAGAGAAGGGACAAGAGAGGAGAGAAAGGAGGCAGAGGACAGGGGGAAGGGGAGAGGGGGGATGAGCAAGGGAAGTGGGGGAGAGGAAAATGATACACACGAGCCAGGAGGTAGCAGCGGGTAATAGTAGTGATGCTATCAGATGAGAAATTGCGATGCCTTACGTTACTCTTCTGTAGATGAGACTATGCTGATGATTTGGGGAATTCGCGCTGACAGATGATGGTTGGCACCGCCGGGAGGAAGAGGCGAAAGAAAGACAAGAAGCGCAAGCACAAGATGAAGTGGGGTGACTACACCTCGCAGATGAGCCCAGAAGTCCTCATGATGAGCAACATGATGGGCATGTCCATGATGATGAACAATCCCCTCGCGATGATGGGGATGGGAGCGCCCATGATGACACAGCAGATGCCGATGATGCAGTCGTCGTCTCCGCCCAAGAAGGCGAAGAAGGACAAGGGGAAAAAGGCCGCCCGGAAAGAGGCGGCCGAAGCCGCGGGCGCCGTGGCGGCCGCGGGCACCGCGGCGAGCGCGGTCGCCGCGGTGGCCGGTGCTGGGTTCGACTGGAACATGCTCAACGACGACGTCCTCATTGACGCAGACGACCTATGACTCATGTCGAGGAGCCCCGCAGTCATAGCTCTCTGAGATCAGGGCGTTGCAATTATTTCACACTGGGCGGTTTCGCCCAGTTTCGGGCCCAGGAAGCATCACAGATCGATCCTGTGCGAAAACATGCAGCAGAAAGATGGGGCTTCGGGCTCCTGTCGCGATTTTTCGCGATGCTGCTATATTTGCTGCAACGTCGAATATCAGGGCTGATCGATCCTTTTCCCAACTGGGCCAAGGTACCTTAGCCCCACCAGCCCAGCCCCCCAGGCAGGGATAGGTCCCGAGAGGCCCTGAGGGAGCAGCATGTACCCAAGGCCATGCCAGTTGGGATGGGGATGGGGATCGGTCAAACGATGCCCAGGCCCGACCCGTCGCAGAACGAAGCCCCCACTTCCGCCCCCGAGTCCTCGGGCTAGGTCGATCCGCAGGGGGAACCCTGGGCCCGAGGCGGCGCGGAGAGACCCGCAGCGGTTGCTGCCCACGCCGCCCGGATGTCGCCAAGGGCGGCGCAGAAGCAGGGGGGGCCTGTTGCGCGGCCACTCTGCGCGCACGTTGCCCGCCGAAGGTCGCGCGCGAGCGCCCTGCGTAAGCCATCGGGCAGCTGACGTGCCTGTGTACTCGACCCCCTGCTCATCCCGGGCATCCGGTGTCGGTGTCATGCTGTGTTCGTGGCATGGACACACGGACTTGTGGAAGTCGGTTCATAGAGAGGAAGCAGGTTGCCAAATAATTTCCAGATGTCTAGAAAATGTTTCAAACATGTTTCAAATGTGTAAAAACATGTTTGAAACATGTTTGGAACATGTTTTACACATTTCAAACACATCTTTACTTCAATGGTAGGATTATTAGAGTGTTCATTGTCATGGCATCCACAAACCTCTCGACACATTATTCTGGAGATTGGTTGGTCATGCCAGGCAGCTGTGCGAGGGCCCGCGGCCCAAAGCAGCCCGGACAGGCCTTCAAGGAGGAGGAGGAGGAGGAGGCGGAGGAGGAGGAGGAGGTTCAGAAGGAGGATGTTCAGGAGGAGGAGGAAGAGGAGGAGGAGGATTTCCCTTTGCCGCTTGAGGTCCGCGAACCAGGTGTCTGGGACCTCTCCCAGGTGCGTTCTGCCCAGGGTTTCGGAGCGGGTCCAGCCGTGGGCGGCGACGAGGGATCCCCAGAGGGCCGAACAATGGCGAAGAGCCTCAGGTTGTTCCCCTCTCCCTCTGCCCCCTCCTCCTCCTCCTCCTCCTCCTCCTCCTCCTCCTCTTCTGCTCCTCCTCCTCCTCCTCATCCTCATCCCCCCCCCCTCCTCCTCCTCCTCCTCCTCCTCCTCCTCCTCCTCCTCCTCCTCCTCCTCCTCCTCCTCCTCCTCCTCCTCCTCCTCCTCCTCCTCCCGTGGACCTGCCTCTTCGGAGGCAGGCCACCGTCCTAGTCCTAGTCCTCCTCCTCCTCCTTCTCCTTCTCCTTCTCCTCTTCCTCCATCTCCTCCTCCGCATCCTCCTTCACTTCCTTCATACCTTCATACCTTCTCGGCCTTTGGGCTTTGATCAAGGCCACAGAGTGCTCCGCCTCCTCCCCCTCCCTCTCTCCCTCCTCCTTCTCCCTCCTCCTCCTTCTCCGTTTCCTCCTCCTCCTCCTCTTTCTCCTCCTCTTCCTCCTCCTTCTCCTCCCCCTCGTCCTCCTCCTCATCATCATCCGCATCCTACTCCTACTCCTACTACTACTACTACTAATAATAATAATACACCTACGACTACTACTACTACTACTACTACTACTACGACTACTACTACTACTACTACTACTACTACTACTACTACTACGACTACTACGACTACTAATTTCTACTACTACTAACTACTACGACTAACTACTACTACTACTACTACTACGGCCATTATACTACTACTACTACTACTACTACTACTACTACTACTA